ACAACACTGATCCAAAACTAGAACATTTACTATGTTATAGTTCGAGTATCCTGACCTCTAACCTTAAACACTGGTTATAGTACCGCTAACCCTAACACCCTCAACACCTAAACCCTAAAAGCCCTACCCTGAACCCTGGTTATAGTACCGCTCGAGGAACCCTGAAAGACACCCTTTGAAGGCATGCTTACCCTCGGGGTCCATGTACCCAAAATATTATATACTTTGGGCCCTATCTAGGGTGTACTTTAAGGCCAGAGTTTATACTACGGTTGATGATATAAATCCTGCACTACCCACAATAAGGAATATACCATAGCTCCCATCGTTTGGGGTCCTCTTAAAGGTAATGCAGGCCCTAAGCCCAAAGCCCTGAACCCTGAACCTCTAAACCGCTAAACCCCTTTCAGCACGGACTGAGGTGCCGGCCAGCGCCCATGCAACCCTCACCCCGTCTTAAGGCCCTAAACCCCTAAACCCTAAACCCTAAACCCTAAACCCTATCATCAACAGCATCTGGGTACATGGACCCATAGGGTTACAGGGAACCCTCGGCCTCCTGAAGCCTCTGGGCTGTTTATGCTACCTAAAGCCTTTTTAGGGCTCAACTTCTATATAGATAGCCCCAGAAAGTTGGAACATGGGTTTTGGATGATTCGTGCGGGGAGTCACTATACTTCACCTTAAGGGCACAAGGATAAGAATCTTCCAACTTTCTGGCTCCGACTCTCTTCTGAACCCTTTGGTCGCCAGCCTCAATAGAGTTGATCATGAGCATCTTTCGGATTTCGTGCTTCTGCTCCTTGAACTCCTGCGCAGGCTTGCGCTGAACATTCTTGGCGTTAATCGTCATAATTATAATACTCCCTGTAATACTAACCTACATTGCCACAGCTGGTCTATTGCTTCTGGTTTTGGGGCTTAGGGGCGAGTAGCCCAGCCCAAATACCTCATTACCGGGTACTTTTGGACCTCGGGCGCGCGAACAACTTTTCGAAGCCAGCCCGATGTCTCGGACTGAAGGTCTACGGAAACCAGGAAACCGTAAACCTGCCAACACTACCTGCAGCTCGCACAACATACTCCAGGAGGCTTATACCCCACACTGAGGTACATGCTACGTATTAAAATGAGAATAACAAGATAGCACTGAAAATAGTAGCAATCTACAAGAACTGATAACACAAATCGTAAGAAGTACAAAACAATAGAGCACGAACAATACTACAACTATGATAAGGCCCGTTATTATAGCATCGTGCCAACGGTGCCTGGGCCAACTCTTCCATGTAGTCGTTGTTATCCCGCACGAGGACCAGCCACGAATCCTTGACCGGGGACCCTTCATTGGGTTTTGGGTTTAGGGTCAGGGGAGCCTTGGTGATTGGAATACTGACGGAATGGCATGACTACTTATTCAGACCTCCACATTATTCCATTAAGCGTCCCTCGGAAAACTTACGGAATATCTTTCCGCCTTTCAAAGCAAGGGCCACGAAAGCCCCTGTATGCCGTAAACTTAAACCCAACCCGCGAATTTTTAACCCTCAAGCCAATCACAGAACGCCACGAGCGCAAAGCCAAACTCCACGCCCCAAGCCCTAGACCACACTTCTTGAGGACCGAAATATCAACCACATCGACGAAACCGGGGGGTCGCAAAGCGACCCCTGCGTTTTGCTACGTAGTTTTACGAATACGTGCCGGTATCAATCCCACAGGAACCCCCAAACCCAGAATAATCCAAAACCGATCAAACCAACAAAACTAAAGAAACTAAAACAAAAAACACAAAATCCCAGCCGGGATGCAAAACCAGAAACCAAAGACAGCCGAACAAAAAACAAAGAAACCACAACCAACAAATCAAAATCCTCGCCGAGATGCGAAACCAAAAACCCCGGAAGAAATCCAACACCAAAAAATGGTGTCTTTTGTTTCTTTGTTTTGGGATCTCGGCTGTGATTTTGTTGTTTTTTTGGTGTTGGTTTCTCTGTTTGCTGAATTTGTTGGTTAGTTATTTGTTGTTTGTGTCTTTCGTTTGTGATCCCTGCTGGGATTTTGGTCTTTTGGCTTTGGATTTCGTCTGCTTTTGACGTTTTCTCTTTGGTTTCTGTTGTAGTTTCCTTGGTTAGGATTTGGTCCTGCATTAGAATTTTCGGCTGTGGCGCGGAGTGGGGCCGCCGGCGACTGCCAATACTAGTACTTGTAACCCGCTCCATCAGTTTGCAAAGAATAGATACCAATGTGCATCATTACATACGCATTCAGCTTTCTCTTACTTGCATTTCTATAACCAGTACGAAACAGTACTCATAAACGCTTCGGAAATTGGGTTTACTTTAATTCGTATGTTCGGTGCAAACCTTCGAAATCTCCGGAACATTAATACCAGCCATTCGGGGAAAGGATATCCTATTCATCATGAAATAGGATTGTATCTCCAAAGAATCCAAACTTCCACATGCCTTCCTACGATCTGTTGAAATGCTGCCTGGCGAGTTTGGAGGATGCACAAATTATTGTAAATGCCAATCTTTCAACGGTCCCAAGTGGCGGCATATCCTAGAGTTTACTTTCATACATTATCGTAACCCTTTCTATAAGCTCAGAATGCTGAGTTGTACAAGATGAACACATACTCCACAATATCCCTGCCTCTACGACTTTAAGACTTTCAAGCACAGCAAGTCTTATGTTGGATTTTGTTGGCCCGCAATTCTCGACTTCCTTCATAACCTTATAACTTTTATCATGCAGACTTTAACTANNCCCCCACAAAAAAAAAAAAAAATGTAATAAACAATCCCAAAATCCCCCTTCTCAAACCGGGCCTGATTAGAGTCTTAGTGAAGCCTTATTCCGGGTCGAGCAGAATAAGGACAGGCCGGAAGAAGCGATTTGGGTTTTATCTTGTTGAGGAACTCCAAGATAAGGCCCAAATAAAGCACCAAGAGCACCCAAATAGAACCCAAATAGTGCCCAAAATAGTGCTCAAATAGGCCCCTAATCAGGTTTCAATAGAGCTCATAATAAGCTTCCATTGGCAGATGACAAGGATTCTGCGATGCCCTGACACGACAACAACTACAAAATATACCCGAAATAAGCTTACTTGGGTCTTGCTTTGGGTTGCGTAATATAAGGCTACGGCTGCTGCGAAGGAGGGGCGGAGTAGGGGAGCGGATAGTCAGTGTTTGTGGTTTATTGAAGCACAGCAGATCTCAGATTTAGATTGTTAGCCTCTGGTGTGCCATGTTTAATACCACGACAGAAAAGCACTGAGCTTCATCAATGAAGCTTTTGTCAATTAATCCAGAAGCATGCCCAAGAACACAACCTAGAATGACTGTGCAGAATTAAGTGGGAGGGAAAAAGCCAATCTCCACAAGTGAAAAGTTTGCGCTTTGCCTACCTTTTCCTCATTAAACTCAGCTTCTTACAGCCACTAGTAGATCATTGGAGAGCCGATGCGTCGTTGTCCGACCTCTAACCGCCGAAACCAAACCCTAAACCCTATCCCACAAAACACGTCGTCGCCGCAAACCTCAGCACCACAACGTTAGCCCCCCGAAACGGACCGTAAACTCCGTACACCCAAAACCCCATGGTACTAATTCTACACCCTAAACGCCCAAACCTGAGAACCACACCCCAAATCCTGCACCCGAAAACCCGCCCAACGCCACAAAAGCCTGCAGTTGGGGTTTAGGCTTCAGGGTCTTAAGCGGGCTGTTTTCGGAGTAATGTGTCGGCCGACTACGTGCAGAATTCCCATCATGGTGACAGCCACGAATCATGTCAACTATAGAACGATAACGCTGGTTTTTGACAAGAGACTCGACTGCTGCCCTTACTGCCCAGTTCGACCCACAACCCGAAGACTGTCAGCCCTGAATTTGCAGGTACCTGAACCTGCCGATTTTAGGGTCCGAAGAATTGAATATTGTAGAGTTTAGGGTTTGGGGGTTTAGGGTCCGACGAATTGAATATTGTAGAGTTTAGGGTTTAGGGGTTTAGGGTTTAGGGTCCGAAGAATTGAATACAAGCACTGACATTAAGTCATTAAGTCAAGCTTCGTAGTCGAAGCGGTTGGCTTCTGAGCTCAGAGCCTTGTCGCTCGAAGCAGACGCAGGTTTCATATGGTGAGACAGCTTCAAGTCTCCAGGGCCGATATCCCAAACCCGAGCCCATGCGAACTCTCTGATGGTTCTAGAATCAGAAGGTTCACTTGGGCTCTACAGGCCTTGTCGGCGGTTTAGGGTTTAGGGCCTGCTTGGGGATCAGGGGACGGGTTCTTCCACTTTCTTAAATTCTAAAAACCACAAGAAAGGGGCTTAGGAACCATGCTTTGCCTAGATTTGCACTTTCAAGTGGCGCGCATCATGTTGGAACTGAAACAGGCTTGGTGGCGATGCAACGGTCCACGACTGCCCACACCGGATTCTGAAGCTCGAACCCCAATTACTTGCCTACAGCTTTGTTTCTTCAAGGTTGCTGTGCTAGAACCTACCGAATCAGAGTGAACCACTCGGGTGTGCTTCTTGAGCTTCTGGGTGCTGGGTCTTTGGGCAAAGAGGCAGGAATGCTGCAGTGCGCAGGTGCGGCTTGATCTGAGAACGGCATCAACAACATCATTAACATCAGCACGCTAAGATGACCAAACACCTGGCGATCATCAGCAACATCTCGGTCATCAAGATAGTCGTCCGTGGGTGTCCCAAGTCATGGGCTCCATGAACAACAGCCGGCAGCCGTAAGCTTCAATCCCTAAACCCTAAACCCTAAACCCATCCCAGGCACTTTGAGCAGCTCGACGACTCTTTCCATCGTCATGTTCACCTTGCTTTCCTTGCAGGGAGCAGGCTCTAGGGTTCAGGGTTACGGTTTAAAGTTTAGGGTTTAGGGTTTCGGGTTTAGGGTTCAGGGTTACGGTTTAAAGTTTAGGGTTTCGGGTTTAGGGTTAAGGGATAAGGTTTAAAGTTTAGGGTTTAGGGTTTAGGGTACCAAGGATCTAGGGCGTAGATTGAATAGGAGATAGGCTCATGCTTTTGAAGGCACCATAGTCTTCGACAGCAGGGCCTGAATCTTCAAAGCTGCGCTGCGAGTTGCAAAGCGCAAGAGGCGAAAAGAGGCGGGGTAGGGCACGAGCAGATGGTAATGTAGCGGCCTAAATAAATACCTATACTACTTTAGGGGTTCCTTATTATAATTACAGTATAATTGGCCCCAAAACCCTATTCTAATTATTCAGGCCCCTACATGACAGAAGGTGGAAAGGACTAGTCGAAACAAGCATGGACTTCTGAATCACACACTGCCGAAGGCCCAACTACAAGAACAAAATGCAGGCGAAAACTGTGGCGCCTAAAGCACCGAAGCCATCAATTTACCGCCATCAGACAGAAGGCATCCCCTAAACTCTAAACCCTAAACAAGGCCAGGAGGCATCTGCGTTCTTGAGCTCTGTTCCAATGGCCTTGCCAGTGAGGACATCCAGCCCATGACCTGAGGTATTCTAGGATTCAGTGTGTAGGGTTTACAGTAGGGTATTTTCTGTTTTTGGGCGACCTGCTGAATCCGAAATCCCACCGAAGCCCGAAATCCCCAATGGAACAACGGGGACCATGAGGGCTGATCACAGCATGACGATGTACGGACCATCTAGGGGTTACTACTGGACAGTGGCTTTCACCATGCCCAGGATTAAGAAGCCGAGGGCTCAGGCGCTGTATGCTTAGGGTGTGAGGTTTAGGGTTTGCAAGTGGTAGAGGCCACTTGCACGGTCACGTCAGTTGCTCAAGCGGATACTGGCAGTCAGCTGGAGTAGGCGGGGCCTCGGATGGCTCGGGTCTAAGCAGAGCTAAAGAGGGCCCCTCAGCACTCACTTTTGTGCTTCGGCTGTCAAAGCTGCGGTGTCGCATCTGTGATAGAGCAGCCAGGTGATTTCACCTGCATGCCCCGGTTCCTCCTCCCCTAGAAGAACAGAAAACACTTATTACCTTCCAGTGTCGAGTGGTTCGAGTCCTGCAGTCTTCCTCCTCCGTGCAGACATCATCTCAGGATCCTCCACTATGCGCCAAGAGTGGCGCATTCGGTAGTACAACTCCATTTCCTTGCTCCCATGTTTGGTGAGGGCATTGGCCAACTGCGCTTCAGAATGTACCCAGCGTATGAGCACCCCGTGGTTCCTTTGAGCCTCCTTGATAGCCAGCAGCTCGATGTTGGTGCGCTTTTCCGCACCCTTTATGACGAGTACCTCAGTAGAAAGCTTGTCATACACATTTCTCGAGTCTGTCACCAGGCATCCTGTGACCTTAGCAACCGTTTCATCGGGATGTCGGAGGTTTATGCTACCAAAGCAAAGCTCACTCCATTGGTATCGAGCAAAGTATAAAGCATCTTCACCGTTAACTGCTGCTTGCGCTTCAGCTGCTCCCGGTGACCTGCATGCTCTGTCGATCTTGTTGGAATGCCATGCTATAGGCGTAACCCTTCCAAGCTCCCCATGCAACATGCCTGCAGATCCCATTCCTATGAAGATCCCTTGGGTGGAACCTCCTTCTCGGCGGTTCTGGCTCGCGGCATCCACCCATCCAAAGAGCACCATGGTCTCCTCAGAAGAAAACTGATGTATCAACATCCTGTGGTCCTGGCGGGCCTTAGCATGGTATGCTAAAAGGTTGGCCTTGATAATCGTGTTCACGTTGCTCTCAGAAATCTCTGAAAGCAACAAACTCACCTCGGCAGATAGATGCGGGGCAACTTGTTGGGCGTGCCATGAGAGTCCTCCTAATAGGGCCCTTAGCTGCGTCTTCTCACGCTCTCCTGTGGGAGCGTCTTTTTCCTTCCGACGGCTTGAGGAGAGGGGGATTTCCTTGATCCCTTCTAAGTAGTTGGGTTGACTCAGCTGAAAGCCCTCCGGTGTTCGCTCCACTTGCACGCCACACTGAACAAACTTGTCCTGTTCCCAATCACCCCACTTAAATCGCTGTCGAATCTTTTCCAGCAACGCTTGCCACTCTGCGTCGTCGGCGCTTCCACTGAAAAGAAAATCATCAACATGGCCTGAGATCATGCCACGTAGCTCTCCTTTGGGCCGCCAGACCCAGGCACATGCATCTGCATATGTACGTTCTAGTCCGAGCTCGCACAAGTACTCATCTACTGTCCGATACCATTCCAATGGCGCGTCTACGAGCCCGTAACACGCCCGCTTGAGACGTGTGATGGTGCCCTCTGGCACCCCCATAGCCTCACAGATTTCTTTGCAGGGTATGCAGTACAGCTGATCCGGGTATTCTCTGCCCTGCAGGAATGCTCCCGACACGTCTCCCTTCTGCACAGTCCAGTTGCGGTTTGCAGATAATTGTAGCTGCATCTGACGCGTCTGACGCGTCATTACTGGAGCTGTAGTCGAGCGGAATTCGTACTTAGGGTCCTGGTACCCTAAAAGCACTGCACGGGCCTTTGCTTTTTGGCCCCCTGAGTCTGTGGCTTTCCACGTAAGTATCCACCTCATGTTGATGGCTTGTTCTCGGCTGGGGCGAAGCTCATCCGGTAGCGTCTCGAAGGCCTTCGAGGCGATGAAGTTGCGCACTTCAATATTCTTTGCGGCTCTGAATTCCTCCTTCTGTGAAGGAGTCAGCTTCCTCTCGCAGACTTCTACGGCTCGGCGCTTCATGGCGCCCACAAAGTAAGCTGGAAGGTGGTGCAAAGTCTTCTGAAGACCTCGCACGTTAGTGGGGAGCTCTATCTCCACTGACACTGCCGCACTCTCATCATTCCAATAGGCTGCCGGCTGGTCCTCCCAGTCTTTCTCAGGCACTGATGCCCACCAAGCCTCGGCCGCTTGGAAGCCACTGCCCGGTTGATTTCCTAACCGCGCTCGGCTCGAACTGGCCGAGGGCGAAGAGGTACCCTGGTCCTCCTCCTCTATAGTGGGTTCCACTGCTTCCGGCTGGGGTCGCTTCCCTCGGAAGCGCATCCTCGTTGGCGGCGCCGTTTCCTCGGTGTCCTGGGCCCCATGCCACTCTTGGGAAGTGGGTTGCTGCTGCGAGTAGTCCTTCACTTGGTTTCCACCGATCTCGGCGGCAACTCTTTGGAAAGTCCACGGAGTCCGGTCTTCAGGCTTGGCTAGCATCTCCAGCAGCTCCTCTCTTTCGGACGCTCGTCGTAGTTGCTCTGGACAACATTTGATGAGGCTTCTGCCTCTGACCAGCCATACCGAACTACCGGGCACCAGGTGCCCGGTCTCATCCTTTTTCTTTTCTGTAGCCAGAATCCGGGCTGGACCTATAAACTGACCGTGCTTGTCTCCGGGCTGTCGTCGTCCCTGTTGTCCCGTCTGGGCTCGCCATAGGTACACTAACTCCCCTGGTTGGAAGTCTAGCACTTGCTGTCCCCTAGAATTTTGGGCCCGAAGGATCCTCTGGCGTGCCGTCCAAGATGCATGCGCTCCCTCAGCAGCTGCCCTCAATTGGGCCGCTCGTTCAACTTCACCTTGGGGGTCTTCCCACAACATGGAAACAGGGGCCTGATTAATCACTTCCATCACAGGTCCTACTTGATCAGGATTGTGACCCAGCGCATGCTGCACCGGAGAAAACCCTCGAACAACATCCCGATGGTTGAAAGTCATGACCGCTACCGCCAAAGCTTCCTCAGAGCTCACTCCCTGCTCACTCAGGCAAGTTTTAGTCATAACCTCCTTCAATCCCTGAACGGCCTGTTCGCAAATCCCGAGTTTCCAATGTGCTTCCCCTGGGATGATGTCCAAGAGAATCTGATGACGGTCACAGAAACTTTCTACATGTTGGCTCCTGAATGATCCGGCTGGGTCCAGTCTCAGGACTTGAGGCTTGCCGAAATATTGCATCCATCCCTCCTGGAGGTAATTCAGGCATGCCATCGCAGTTGGTTGTTGTTTGGACCCTGTAGTCAAGATCCTAGCCGCACGAAATCTCGAACACTCATCCACAATCACCATGAACTGCAGCTTCTCATGAGTTTGAGGGTGCACCCAATGTCCTACGTCCGCAGAAACCGTACTCCATCGAGGGGGAAGGGGTTCCAGGGTCGACATGTGTCTATGACCTACTCGCCTCTTTTCCATGCACACTGAACACTGAAACTCCTTAGCCAGAGCTAAAACCCTGTTGGATGCACCGCGCCGACGCAACGCATCGACTAAGTGCCGAGTGCTCCCATGTCCCGTGGCTGCGTGAAGCAGGTAGAGCTGCTTCTTGATTCGTTCATCATGTCTTTTGTCAACGCCTACGAAAGTGCGTCTCCACTGGCCTTGTCTCTGGATGACCATCCCTTGTTCCAAACTTTCCGAAGGACCCTCAGGACATCCAAAACCCAACTTCCGAAGTTCCCTCAACACATCATCCTCAACCACTCTACCTCCACGGCTCACATACGCGGCTACAGTAAATCTGTCCCCTGTCCACTCACATGTCCCATGCCAGGCCTTCGGTGAGAAATTGACGCACTGGCCCTGCGTTGGTAGCTTGCGTCCCTGTAGGACGGTTCCATCCAACGCCTCCTGGGCGCAGGCGTCAGGACCCGTGTATCCCGGTGGGGTTTCCACCCACACTTCTCCTCCTTTGTACTGCCCTACTCCTATCACGTAGTTATGATGCTGGGAGTCGTTGTGGTTGTCACGATGGATGGGCATCTTGTTGTTGGTGCTTAAAACAAAGGAGGTCCACTTGGCTCCTTTGGGGAGATTCCTAGCTAACCATTGGTTGATGTACGCCGTCACTTGAGGAAACTCCATTGTTTTGTTGGTGATGCCATAATTCCTGCCGTGGGAATACATTCCAAACGCATGATACGAGCCTCTAGTTCCGGGAACCATTTCTCGGGGCCTGCCTATCCTCAGCCGCGACATGAGCTCCAGGAGGGGTTGTGCATCCTGAATGGCATACTTCTTGTGTTTAAGGAGTTGCTCGGCTAACTCTTCCACCTGCTGTTTCTCGCCTTGGGCATACATGCCTTGTTCGGGGATCTCTTCCTCTTTGGAGCCTGGGTTACCTGAGGTGCTTTGGGACTCTGGGCCTTGGTGCTCAATCTGTTCCCGTCCTTGTACACAGTTGCTACACGTCATGTGGAAATCCCGAATCCGACCTTCCCCACAGGTACACACTTCTCCACTACCGAAACTCTCAGGCAACCCACTACTCCCGTCACACTCCTGAATCAAGGTGCTATAGCTGAACTCCTGACACAAGGTTTCTGCTGCCCTGCGTGCATAGGCTTCTGTGTAGGCAGCAAAGCCTGGATTGCGGTGTCCTTCGCACCGGCCATGTTGGTAATTCTTACCACAGCGACACGGAAGATCCAATTGTTCCACCAACCGCCTATGACTAGACATGATCTTCCATCCCCACTGAAGCAATCTCCCCTCGCCCTTTTCACGAAGTCCAACCTGGCACCCCTTAGTCACTGAAAGCCCTAAGTTGTACCGCTGCTGCAGACCCTGGAACAAAGGAAGTCGCCAAGCTTCACAGCGCTCCGGAAGGCTAAGGGTACAGTGTATGCCGAGTTGAATGCAGGTATGAAAAACACAACACGCTCCTACATAGGTCTTCATGGTGTCCCTACGGAATTCCTGAAGCCTGGCCTTCTGAGCTTCTGTGCGCTGGTTTACAGTCTGCATAGGAGAAAAAGCTGCGCCTGGGAGGTTGATCCAAACATTCTGGGGCCGTTCTAGTCTGATCCGGTCCATCACAAACCTCAGCCCTTCCGAAGTGCTAAGATCACCTGAATTCCACAAGGCGCACCTTACTGCCGCATGAGTGTTACTTGACACAGCTTGGACCGCTTGCGTTAGCGAGCTATCGGGTTTACAGGCAACCTCCATCAGAACCGGGCGCGCACCTCCGAGCCCATCATCGGCCAAGAGTTGTTGCATCAACCCTGGGACTAAGCTTTGTGCCTGCTGTTCTAAGTGTCGCACCTCGTCATAACTAAGATCCCGACTATTAGAACCTGTAGCCGATGGGCTCGGGGAGGTACTTATACTGTGACTCATACGGTGCCGTAGTCCCGCATCGCTCACTTGTCCTTCTTCCGGGGTCGCTCGTCCGTGACCGGCCCCATCTGGCGAAGCTCCTTGAGCTCCTCCTGCATCCCCTTCATCGTCTCCATCATGGTGGCCATGAGTTCCGTCTGCTCTGCGGGATATGGTGTTCCCGTGCTGGATGCTGCCATAGTCGTCTGTGGAGGCTCGTACTCGGGCTCCACCACGTACCCGCCCTTGATCTTCAGCCGCAAGCGCTGTGGATCCCGGGTTGTCAGTGGCCGTTGGATCGGCTCGCTCACCTCCGTGGCTCGAAGCAGCCACTCGGCCAATCGCTTCAACCGTGGGTTCGTCTCCTCGGTCTCCTTGTGTGTGGTCTTGACCCAGTCCACATAGCGAGGGAACTGCTGAACCAACTCCCCGTAGGTCAGGTTGGAGTGCCGCCCGAACCCGACAACATCCCGAGAACAGCTTTCCACATTGAAGTAGAGGTGGTCGAGGGCCTTGGTCTCGAGTTGCCACATTGTCTCGTTCTCGGACACGGGAAGTCCGAGCACTTTGGACACATACTCCTGCAGGTCGGCCTTCTTGCGCTTGTTGCGGTTGAGCTGCTTGATCTGTTGTTGCAGGGGTGTGTCCTTGCGGCGTCCCGGAGTGCTGGCCCACTCCTCGTCCTGCTCGTCCATCAGTTCTTGTAGGCGATGTCGCAACTGGGAGTTGTTCCAGCTCTCGGCGGGGATCTCGCCAAACGTCTGGATGGCATCGCGCAGCTGCTTGGTGTTCATCTTGTCCATGGCCGGCATGAGGAAGGAGCGAGCCGGGAGGATCGTCACTATGTCCACTTGGATCACGGCACTGCTGCGCATGTAGTGTTGTGTCGCTCGGGGTGGGCTTGACTCCTTGTTCTACAAGCACATCTGCTGACTCTGTCTGTTGCAAAGACTCCTGTGCACCCACTGTCTCACTGGAAAAACTAACCTTCTTCTCAAACCCCAAACCAAACACACCCTTACCCCTTCGTTCTAGAGGAGGTTCTACGGGCGCTTTGGCACAACTACCCCTTCCGGAAAAAACTCGGTCCCCCTGTTTCCCATCCGGATTGGTCAACAAGGGGTCATCTCCCTACTCGTCCGTTGCTATGTACGAGCTCAGAGACGGAATGGCCTGTTTGGCCGTGGTGGCTTCCTGAAAAAGGTCGTCAGTCAAATTGACGAGCTGGTGACCTGTGGTAGATCTCTGAAGGCGGATCAACTTGGTGGGGTCCAGCTTTCGAAGCACGAGGATGTCCTCCTCGAAGTCAATGATCGCGCCGAGGGCTCGGAGGGTGGCCACGGAGACCAAGATTGGTCCGGAGCCCTTGTTGAGTGCGTGCACTCGAAGCATACCTTCATTGCCTCCTGCATGAAGGCCCATATCGATGGTCGACACGCACTTCGCCTCGCCGGAGTCCGCGAAACCAAACACCGGACGATTCCGTAGGTCCACATTCTTCACACCCGTGGTTCCGCGCTTGCCTTCATTGGCCCGCATCAATGCCTCAATGGCCTGGACGGAGCCCAAGGTGCGTGTCGCACCTCCGTCGATGACACCCCATCCAGCCTGTGTGGCCTCGGAGGTTGTGGGAGCTCGTCCTGAATTGCCTTGGTCCCCCAACATTGCCTGATCGACATAGCAAACGAAGGGAGCTGACTGGTCCTCGGCGGCGTGGGCCTTTTCCTGCTGGCAGTTCGCTGCTCGATGTCCTACTTGGCCACATTTTAGACACGTCATCTTGGAGTCGTCCCTTGGTCTCGAGCTGGCTTGAGCACCGCTTCCACCTGGTTGGTAGTACTTCCGGGACATGCGAACCTGATGCTGCCGCTGGCGCGCATCCTTGAGCGTGCGCTTGGCATTCTGCAAGACCGCCCAGGCCTGGCGCGCATCGTCCTCGGCCTCCGCGACGAGGGCCGCTCCTTCGTCGTTCAGGTCGCCGTCGTGCTCACCCATCTCGCCCGTCTGCCAGGCCTCCTGGATCTCGAAGTCCTCGTCCTCCCCGGTCTCTCCGAGGAAGCCGGAACCCTTATAGTGCTGATCACGCTTCTTGAGGTCGGTCTCGGTCCACTGGTTCCTCAATTCCTGTGCCACTCTGACCACACTGAATTCCCCCTTCAGTGCAGTAAAAATCATGTTGCGCTCGCTCGTGCTGAGGTTGGCATCCTGTAGGAGGTACCAGGCTTGCACCCATTCGGGTAACAGCTCGGTTGACCCGGCGGTGATGGAGGCCCATGCGCCTTGCGAGGCGCCCGGCTCACCGTAACCTCTGCTGTCTGCCCAGCTCCACGACGAGGTCGACCACCAGGCGGGGTAGGAATTGCCCGACCAATAGCCTCCTGCTCCACCCCAGCCTCCGTAGGATCCTTGGCTGTCCCATGTGGCTGACTGTGTGTTTTCTGTAGAGGCCTCGGCGTCGTCATCATCCCCATCCACCGCCGTGGTTGTCGCATCCGAGGTCCAGCTGCTGCGGCGTCGCACTGAGTACCCGGCTTCGCGGGACACTCGCGATGCCGCGACCTCCTGGTGCGGCTTGACACGGTTGAGTGCTTGCTGTGCTCTCATGTAAATCTCACTCTTCCGCGTCACATACTCGTTGATTGACTCACCATTCCGACGCCTTGAGTGTCGGAAATATTGATTGAGGTACTCCGTCAGTTCTGTGACCTGAGGTCTCCCGAGGCAATCCCGCAGATGCCTCATGAGGACTTCCACGCCCCCTGCATAGGACACCCAGTTCGCAGACTTGCCCACAACCATGCGTTTGGCTGAGCCCTGAAGTTCAGCCACCAGTCGCGGGCCGGCCATATACCTCTTGTGGTAAGCAATCCCTTCCTGCCAGAGCAACGCCTCCTCTTCATACCTTTGAAAGGTGGCGCTGTTCCCGTCCCACTGTGGCACACCATCTTTTGACCGTGCTGGTCCGTCTCCTCCTCCACTTGTTGTCATCAAGGGCCTCGCGCTTGATGGTCACTGTTGGTCCCTGGATCACGGCTCTAAGGTATTGGAGCTCTGGGCTCCGCTACCATGCAAGTGGTAGAGGCCACTTGCACG